AGTGATAAAAAACACAGTGAATATACCTTTTCACTTTTTGAAGTACACATAACACTCGGATTTAAATCCGAGGTTTTCGGATTTATTTGTTATCTATAGTCGCTCTCAAAAAAAGAAAAACTAAAAAAGCGTTCTTCATAATGTGTGAAGAAATTCTTCGATTGATCGACATCTATTGAAATTATTTTCATGATTGGTTTATTATTTTAACTTATCTTGTGATTTATATTTTTTTTTGATTATTTTATAAAATGTTGTTTTCAATGATAAAATCTTCGGAATTTATTATTAAAATTTTATTTCGTTCATTTTCAACAAAACATATAAAATTTCGTTCAATTTCACCACAATTACGTTTTCTTATGGATACAAAATGTGTATATGGTCCACAAAAAATAATTCGAGAAAAACGATATACAAATTCTAGTGAATATGATTTATTCTATGAAAATACACATAAAAAAATATTTGAACAAGATACGGAATTATTATATGCTGGTCCTAATGGATTTCGTCGAGCTTGTAGTATTGAAAAAGGTATTCCAATAACAGTACGTGAAAAATATTTACGTCATTTATTTCGTATACCACGTGGTCAACGTGTTTCATTATATCCACAAGCTTATATACCAAATAAATATTTAGGTTTAAAAAGAAAAAAGAAATTTGGTTAATAAAATTGTAAATCATTCGATGAACAATTTAGAAGAAATTTTCATTTTTGTTTTAGATAATTAAAGAAATATACATTCAATCTCTTCATTATTAATTTTCTTTTTTTTTGTGTATAGTTGTATTTATTAATTCAAACTTTATTCTTATACTGATGTAAATTATAACATAGAATTAAATTTGTTGTTGTTTTTTTTTTCTGTTACAAAATCTACTGATTAAAACTACTATTAAAATATATTATGAACATAGGATACATAAAAAATATTTTTGACAACGATTGGAAGATGTAAAATCTTATCAGCTCATTGTATGATTTATATCCCATTGTCTTAAAACTAAATACGAATCCTACGCATTTCCAAACACAAAAAAAAAATAAATAAATGCTGCTCATGGAATTCAAATGAACCATCACAAATCTTTAATAAATAATTCATATTACATAGAAATATTCACTTGTGATAAATCTACTCAATTGAAATCCATTTTATTCATAAATCTATTTGTTTAACGATAATAAATTAATTTCATTTATTTAAAACAAATATTTTTAATAATTATTCAAGTTTTTACTAAGAAAATTGAATTTATTTCTTCTCTACAAACTTCGAATCTTGTTTAAATCTTTTCTAAATCCAACATGCTTCACATGTTTATGCTCTTAAGGAAACCTTTAAAACTTTACAAGCTTGTCCTACAAAAAATATTCTATGTAGAAACCTTTCATAAACATTAATATTTTCATTACCAATCTTATTTTTCTACTATTTTTATCATTTTCTAAAACACAAGTATCAATATGGAATTATTTTTATACACTTTCATATGAATATAAAGCTTCTTGATAATATAAAAAAGAAAAATCTTATAAATACATAGAAGAAACGATCGCAGAGAAACATGTCGTGCATATAATACAATTTTTTTTTTGTAATTATAAAAACGAAATACTTAAAGACAAGAGGCGTATTATGAAAGAAATTCTTTCGTCAAGTCGTACATATTATAATTATGTTTTTGCACATTACAAAATCAAAATCGATAGATTGATTTTGCAATCATTTTCTTTTTTAAAACACGACATATTAACAATGATGATTGATGGAGTTACACAAAGAATAGATCGTCGTAAAACAGTTAATGTCTATTCAGGTCAAATTCCTATTCGTAGACAACGTATTGAACATTGGGTAAATAAAGATCGAAGTACACCGATTAAAAATGATAAAATAATAAAATCATCACCAACATTAAAAACTTCTTTAAGACCAAAACAAGCTGATAATACATTATTGCAAGCTGATCGTCGTCTTAATATGGAATTATTTCAATTAGGTGAAAAACGTGAAAAATTTATTGAACAAAGTAATTTTGATCAAAAATTATTTGCTAATAAACAAGCATTACTTCATAAAAATAACCATGATATACTTCAGTAATGAAATTTTTAATAATTTATATGAAATAAATCAATATAAAAATTATCTATTTTAGAACATTAAATCATGTTCGAAAATGTTGTAAATATATTGATTACAATAATCATAATGAGATTATAATTGATTCAACAATAGATTTAAAAGATAATCATACAAATAAAATAAATCGTTCTCGACCATTACTTGCTACTGAACCTATTGTTAAACGAAATTTAAATTCTAATGTTCAAACACAAATAAATACTGCACCGACGGATATATCTCTTCAACATAATATAAAACATATTGAATCATCAAAAAAATTAACGGAAGAAAAACTAGTATGTCTATATGTTATTTTTATTTAGAGTAAAGTACATCTATACTTAATTCTTATAAGCCGAACTCCTAATATAAAGATCATTGTTCAAAGATATCTCATAGTTTCGATGACGGTTAACTAAGGGTAATATTTTGAGTTATTACTGCCCTAGATATTATCGAATCAATTTGAAACTACTACCAAACGGTGTACGAGTGAGCCACTTGATTTTATAATGATGACAAAAAAATATAGACTTACTCATAGAAGCAAGGAATCAAGTAATATACGTTAAAGGGAAAACAGTAAATTGTGTTAGACTTCAACCAACACTATAAAATTTAGTACTTTTAGCTTTATCCAAAACTTTGCAAAATCTTTTGCGTAGCTTGATGAATAACCTTGTTATTCCATATAATAAAATAGATGAAATACAATTCAATGTCTGATCTTCTGTAAGAGAAAGAGAGAAGGTTTTATAAGTTATGATACATATAAAACTATATATATATATATACGGATCCGATGACCAAAAAGTTAAAGGTTAAAAAATCAAATCAGCGGAAAGTATACATTGTTTTTGCGTTGTTTACACATACTATATTATTCGAAGGTCAAAAAATGAACAGATGCTTACCTCAAACAGTGTTTGATTACATCTTTTTCTCCATTTGTCAAGATCTACCGGCTGTGAAAGTGTTAAATTTCTACAATCATTCAGTCTTCAGAAACTCCGAAAAAAGTAGTACTCTTAAAGGGACCCCCCCCCCCTTTCCGGCGTTTCTAAGAAACGGCCGATCGAAAATTCCTGAAACTTTCAGGGTAGATAGGTCTCGAGTAGTAGAGCAAAAGTTATCATGGGCACAAATTTGCCAGACCTCATCTTGATGGGCTTCCAGAGACCCCAAGGTCAAAAACTGGCAAAAAGTTCCCCCCCCCCCCCGCAGGCCCCCAC